AGGGCAGAATGGTCTTCCTACAGTCAGAAACACAGAATCATAGAATGGCCTGTGTTGGAAGGGACCTCAAAAACCATCTAGTTCCAACCCTTGTGCCATGAGCATGGTTGCCCATCACTAGATCAGACTGCCCAGAAATCCATCAAGCCTGGCCTTGAACGCCTCCAGGGATGGGGCATCCACAACATGCACTGCTTCTCTGGGCAGCCTGTTCCAGAGCCTCACCATATTCTGAGTAAAGAATTGCTTCCTAAGATCCAACCTAAACCTCCCTTCTTTCAGTTTATATCTATTTCCCTTTGTCCTATCACTATCTACCCATGTATCCCTCCTGAAAGTAAGCTCCTTTCAAGTACTGAAAGGTTGAAATAAGGTTTCCAGGAGTTTTCCCTTCTCTAAGGCAAACAATCCCAACTCCCTCAACCTTTCATCATAGGAGAGATGCTTCAGCCCTCTCAGCATCCCTATGGCCTCTCCTGGTCTCACTCCAACAGGTCAGCATCCTTCTTGTGTAGGGGGCTCCAGGCCTGGAGACAGTACTCCAGATGTGGCCTCACAAGGGCGGAGTAGAAAGGGACAATCACCTCCCTTTTCCTTACTAGCCACCTTTCTTTTGATGCAACCTGGCACACCACTGGCTTTCTGGGCTGCAAGAGCACACTGCTGGCTCGTGTCCAGCTTTTCATCCATCAGTACCCCAAGTCCTCAACAGGGCTGCTCTTTAAGGGTTAATCTCCCAGTTTGTACACATATCTAGCATTGTCCTGACACAAGTGCAACACTCTATGCTTGGTCTTATTGAACCTCATTAGATACTTGTGGACCCACTTTTCAAGCATGTCCACATTCAGCTTCATGAAGTGTTCTTGGACTTGCTCTGCTCTTACACTGGGAGGGATTTTGCCCTCCTGATCCCCAGCTGGAAGTTCAGGGATATAAGAGACTTGGGAAGCCTGACTGGCAGCAAAGACTAAGGCAAAGAACTCATTAAGTACCACAGCCTTCTCCACATCTGATGAAGCCAGTTTCCTGTTTCCAGAACAGAAGGGATGAAAGGGATGAAAGAAACAGAAAGGATTTATCAGAAGGGATGGAGGTCTTCATCCTACCAACACCACACTCCACTGAATGCAACAACTGCTGTGAGTGGCCATTTATCCTCCATGACACTGCTACCCCCAGGGCTTTTACAAGGAGTAAAAGAGAGAGCCTTAGGGATTCATCTGTCGCCACAGTGTCCTTCCAAGGGTGACAGGGTGCATGGATGATCCTCCCTGTGATTCGTCCTCTCATGTTTAGCTCAAGCCAGATGCCACCATCCAGCAAAATAACAAACACAACAACAAACAAACCTGTGATCTTGCTGACATCTCAGGTTGCTTCTCCATGGGAGCCCCATTTGCAGTGAAACATCCACCCAGCACCTAACGAATGGGCTGCAAGAAATGAGAGCTGTAACTTGGAAATGAGAGCGCCTGCTTGACAGTAGCAGATCATGCTCCTTTTGCAATGGATTCTCTTATATTTTATTTTTAAATTAAAACAATGCTTAACCTTTATAAATTGTGATTTAGGCTTATAAGAAAATAGACTCAGGAATAAGTAGCTTGCTCCAGCGTGAAATTGAATAAATCTGAGTTGAATCACAGAGTGTTACTTACAGAATAACAGTAAATGATGTGTGTGGTTTATTGTTAAACAAGAGCAGAGCTCTGGAAATGAGGTTAAAAGGAAAGCTGTCAAGGGTGTATTTTGCAGCTGTTTCCCAGGCAAAAAAAGAAAATGCTGTTAAAGAGGAATTAGGATGGGAGCATTCATCAGTTATTGTATGGAAACAAGTCCTAGCAAGGCAAAACCAGCAATACCAAGAAGGTGAGGGAAGCAAGGGGCACGGTCGAAGAATAAAAATTGAAGAATAAAAATAAACCAGCAGAGCCAGAAAAGCTAGAGTAATTCCAGCTTCTTCCAATATTTGCCAGGTTTATGATAGATGGGATGCGTCCATCTTTCCTGTTGCTGCAGGTCCCCATGGGGAGCATATTTTCTGAAGCACTGAGCACTGGACACAGTCTGACAGGGAAACAAGAATGCATGGATGCTGAGTGGGGCTGAGAGCATGAACTGCCACTTGGAACTTGACATGGGGACAGCTGGCACAACGTGCCTTTGATTGCAGCCCCTATAGTGCAACTGGGCTGCTGAACCCACCCCACACCCTGTCAGCTCTGTGCTGGGTGGGCACTGAGAAGAAGGTCTGCTATTCTCTCCAGCAGCCGACCTGCTGGTTCTTGGCAGTGCCTGGCCAATAATTGGCTCTGAGGTTTTTGAGAAGAATAGCATTTAGGTTCTGAGCAGATACAAGGATCTTCTAGTTTTCCAACATTATTTTACATTATTTCTCCCACCTGAGTAACAGCTGAATGTCAGCCCTGCCTGACTGGGCTGAAGGAAAACCCTTCTTTCACGGCAGAGTTTGGGATGCAATATAACTGCTGCAAACCAACAGCTAACATCCATGGGAAGCAGAACTCTACAGTTAGTGCCCTCAAGGTACAGGGACAAGCCACACAGAGAGACATGAATGCATCTCCTCATAACAAAGACCATGAACAGTCATAGCTCCCGGCAGGGGAGAGCGGTGTATCCCTGCAAACCGCATAGGCAGGGAGATGAGAAGGCACATGTGGGGAATCAGGGGATTGGAGAAGCAGGAAGGGACCTGAGGAAATCCCCCCCCGTCCAGACCCCTGCTAAGGCCACCTCGTGAAACACGGTATGCAGGAAAGCACGAGCAAGCAGCCTGCCGTGCAGTGTGCAGTGCTGCAGAAAGGAACCCAGGCGGAGGCACCGCCCCCACTTGGTGCTGCTTGTGAACCAGAAGGCTGGCTCAAAAAGAATCCAAGTATCAGAAAGTGTAAACGTGTGGAACGAAGGGATGCCATTCAGAGGGACCTCAACAGACTTGAAAGGCGAGCCCGGGAGAATCTAATGAGGTTCAACGCAGCAAAGTGCCAGCTTTTGCACTAAGCGTATTTCCAGATGGAAGGGAACAGTCCTTGGGAGCAGCCCTGCAGAGAAAGACCTGGGGATCTGGTGGAGGAAAAACTTAACGTGAGCCACGTGTTAAGCACATGGTGTCCCAGGCTGCATCAGAAGAGGGGTGGCAGCAGGGACAAGGAGGTGATTGTCCCTCTCTACTGTGCCTTGTGAGGCCCCAGCTGGAGTCCAGACCTGGAGTCCCCAGTACAAGAAAGACAGGGAGCTGTTGGAGAGGGTCCAGAGGAG